GTAGATACTAGTCAGTAAATACAGGGAAGTGTCTATTCTAACATGACATGGTCTGACACTGATAACACTATATGAGCTTTATTAAGTCTTACCTCTATATATCTATATCTATCTACATCTATGTCTATGTCTAAATCTATATCTATCTATATATATCTATATCTATCTGTCTTTATAACTATATCTATCAATATATATGAAAATCACATTTATTTAGTATCTTGCATGTTGTTACAAATGGGCTTATGTTTTTTCAGTGGTCTACAATCTTGTTCTGTCAAATGTGTAGATCACAAGAGCGCGATAGCACTAATGTTGACACTATCTTTTCTTATATCAGTCTAAACAGTGTATTACGTGCTAATCCCCTTCAGTCATCAGCATGTTTACAGCTCTTATCTAAAGTCCTACATTATCTGAAAGAGCCTCCAGGATTTTGGATTGGCACTGTTGAAGTTAAAGGTCCCTCTCCTCGAGTCCATGTGACATGTAATTGATTCAGACGAAGCTAATTTTCAGATTAGATCAAAAAGCGCTCAATTCGTATCAAGGGCTCTACAGTCATTCTCTGGTCGTCTTAGCAGTAACTTGGTGCCTGTTTCAAATCAAAGTAACACCATAAAAATATTAAGTAGTGACAGAAGATTGCCTGGCTTGAGACTTCTAATATTATAACTTTTGTGTCGGAACTGAGCTTTTTGTTGAATGTTTGTTGAATAATAGTTTAATAATATTAACATTTTTAATAAACAGATTTTGATGAAGATAAGGAAGTTGTGATTAATTTTGGATTTTAATCTTCATTAAAGGTGCACAGTGTAGCATTTCCAGCCAGTGGAGGGTCTACCTCATGGAGAGGTTATTGCCTGGCTCAGGCAATTGTTGTCAAGTCAGCTGCTCTAACTATAAAGCGCCGCGGGAAACACTGAGGTGGCTTGTCTCCCTGAAAGAATTAGTGCTCTAAAAGATATTTTTGTTTGAGCAAAAACACCTGTAATTGAATAAATGGAATGTGTGTTTAATCACATACAGTGGAACCTTTATCATTTCAGGCAGTTTCTTCTCCCCTACATTCAAGTACTTGTAATTGTTCAACATTTTATTTTACAAATCTTACAAAATTTTACAAATATTGTGTCCAGGTTTGTGTTCAGATTTGCAGAGAAATGTTACATTTCAAGTGAACTTGCTGGACTCTTCATTTTCATAGGTGTGGCTGGGGCAAAACTCTGTAAACAATGCATTCTTGTGGAGGAGGCTTTCCCTATAATTTCACTTCTCAAAGTGGAATGTTCAGCAAGAGCTGAATAGCAAGGTCAAACTATACAAGACGTAATTGTTATACAGTCCCATAGATTTTTTTGAAGATTATGATGACGCAAGTGATTTTTTTACACGCTAGCTAGCTCACTGTGTCTCAAAGCTAACTTCTGACCAGTGTATTCTAAGTATATTAGTATTATATTATATTAGTATTATACAATGAGAGACAGTCTAATTTTGTTGTTTGTTGTCTGTGGACTATGGGGATGAATTTTTGACTATGGGGGGCACCGTAGTCTCATGTATTAATGGGAAACACTGGTTATAGTTAGAATTTGGTACTTATCACTGGGCCAAAATGACTACACTACACTACACACAAAAGCTAAAATTAAAATCCTACTTTCACGTGCATGTTTTAATGTGACTCTAGCATTGCAGTCTGGGAGGATAAACACTTTGCTGTACTGACTGTAACAAAGAAAGAAACAATGTGAATGCAGAGCTTAAAAAAAGGGAAAAAAAACTAACAAACAAAAAAAAAAAAAAAAACTGTGGCCTGGACCTTAGCTTTTCACTCTCACAATAGACTTACATAATAACTTTTAGCTCTGCAGGGAAACTGAGAGGCCACAAGGAAAACAAACTAGCAGTAATGTTCTAGTGTTTTGTAACTGCACTGGGGGACTATTATTTCACATGTCAAGCTTTAATGAAAATCTGGTTAAAACAGGTTAAGATACACAGACTACAGCTTCATTAACCCAGAACTGGTCCTATCACCATAAATACTGTATATTGACTTCAGTGCTTGATAGATAGAGCAACTTTTGGGGCTCAGTATTTATCATGAGTACTTTGTAGTAGTGGGGAACTTTTTGTTGTTTTTCTTTATTATGAAGATTTTGAACTGTAGAGGTTTGAGAAAGTAACTTCTACGACTCCTGTGTTTCAGTGTTTCATTTATTTATTGCAGCTCATGTTCACTAATAAGACTGTACATATAGAATAGATTTTTTTAGGGGGGAAATCCTCTGTAGGGTTATTGTGTCAGTTGCATTCAATATTATCATGTATCATCTGTATTTTCATCAGCAATATGGTGTACATCACAATTTGTTATTCTGATAGACCTACCTAGAACTAATACAATAAATAGAGCCAAAAATAAGCATCTCTTCATCTTTCATACATTTAAAGATAAGCTAATATTGTAATGCCTCTCCTATTGATCTGTGTGTGACAATACTTGACCCCAAAACATAGAGTTCCATGGATCTGATTTAACTGGAATGTTCCACAATATGACATTTAACATATCTAGCTTAAAAATGATGACTTATTATTATTGATCTTACCTGTAACCTGTCCTCCTGTAATTCTGATTGATCCATGAAGATTGTTAATACTGTGGAAAGTTCAAAGCAAAGCAGTAACATCTCCATGTAGACAAAGCAGGTGGCGTACCCTCTACCCTAAAAAGTTCCACCGTGGACCTTGAACATGCACATCATTGGCCTATTTAAACCAGATTTCTCTTCAGGCTGTTGCTACTATTGTGCATTCAACTCCGTGTGTGCGTCTGTGAGTGTGTGTGAGGGGCTTGTATGTGCGTCTTGTCTCAGTATGTTGTTGAACAAGCAGCTCTATGTAGTCAGCTGTCCGGAGCAGTGCGAGTGTCATTAATCACAGAGGCAACAAAGCACAGAGAGGGGAAACAGCAGAGAGCAGCCCAGAGGATGTAATCTGGACCGGGGACGAGACACCGCCAAATAGGAGGAAGAGAAGAGAGGAGAGGATACAAGAGGTTAAAGCTTTATTCAGGGGTGAAGGTTAAGGGATATTCTGACATTGATGAACTTAAAGGGCCCATATTACGTGATTTTCTGATCTATTTCATAATGGTGTTACCTCATAAAAAGCATATTCGGATTTGTGTTTTGTTTCATTCACACATATTTAACACACAAACCCTGCATATTTAGGCCGAGTTCTTTTCTCAAATACAAAACACGCTGTTCCACCGTCGTGTAATACAGGAAGTACTCCACTGTTTTTTTTAATTTCGGTCCTGGAATTGCCAATTTTTACTGAACAAAAGGTAAAAGATAACTGTTTAACTTGAAAGCTAACACTACATGACATCACAAGGTGGAACAGAGCATTTTGAGCTTTGGACATGTAGACAGCCCAATGTTAAAGGATTACTGTATTTTCCAGTTTTTAAGTCTCTCCGGAGTATAAGTCGCATCAACCAAAAAATGCGCAATGAAGAAGGAAAAAACATATAAAAGTCACACTATTTGGGGAAATGTATTTTATAAAATCAGAGACCAGGAACTGACATTTCTTCTTGAAAGGCAAGTTCTAGTAATAACAACAGAATATGTTAACTGTTAATATGTTAACGTCCATTTTAAATCCATTGAAGTCTTCGTTCTCGGTGTCACTTCTGCATGCCCTCCGTAGATAAACCATAGATTCATGATGTATACAGTGCACCGCTTCCTCTTCTGCGTAGCTGTTGACAGACTCGGCATCAGTTCCAGTTAGAATTATTCTGTCCTTTCTGAATCCCGACAGGATAGTTTCGATTGTCATTGAAGTTCAGCCTTTGTCGATTCATCCAGTGACTTCCAGGAGAGTGGCATGATGCACCCGCCCGGTTGCCGTGAAACTGTGTTCTCCATCCCCGCCTTCTGCCAGTCTGTCACAAGTTTCTCGCTCACTCCAAACTTTCTTTCTGCTGCCCGTTTTCAGCTGAATATTTCACTTGCATTTGCAGCGAGACAGCGACTATTTCTACAGGAGACATGCGCAGTAGGAGTAATAGGAGTAGCAGATACTGGCACAAGAGCCTAAAGCGCCCTCTCGCAGCTGTCAGTCTGAAAATGTTAATATATGTCGCACCGGAGTATAAGTTGCAGGACCACCCAAACCATGAAAAAAGTGCGACTTATATAAATATGGTACTCAGACATGTGAGAATTAAACAAAACACAAATACGGGTATGTTTTTGTGCGATGAGGAAGCCCGGCTAAATAAAACAATACTGGCCTTTCTCTTTTGGTGCTTCAGGCAAGATTTCTAATGGCACCCCCCTGCACTCACCTGTGGCAATACATATTCCAATAATGGGTACTTTTGCCAAGACTTTTATAGGCATTAGTCCATTGATTAAGGGTCCCTGAATTAAATTGAATTTATTTTGTAGCAGGTACTTTTGAGAGCAATTGCTGATACTGCCTGTGCCAGGGCTTGTGTCTGGAATGAGAAGTGGGGAATAAATAATGAAAAGAATAATTTTACAATTCGGGATTCGCAAAATTAGAACTTCAAGTATATAGTGTGTAATAAAGCCTATTTAATAAGGGCTGCAAAAAGAGCTGAATTAAACTTGCTGTGTGAGCCTCTAGCCGTATTTCTGAATTTTAGTGGGTGATTGTATTGTTCATTCATGCTTTGTGCTTGAACCTCAGCCATGACATTTACAAGTACATTTGAGCACAGTTGTGATGGGATGCCATAATATCTCCCCCTCTAGTTTGACTTTGAAATGGTATGAGATAACCAGTACTACAGGGCCTAGTTTTACAATCACAGTTTCTACCTTCTGTCATTGATTGATGTAGTTATTACTCTAGTTACCATTTTATAGTAAGCAGTTCTTCTGTATGATTCAAAATATTCACTAATTGTATTACTTCCTCATGCAGTTGTCCTTGTTGTGTTGCAGGAGGGAGAGTTCCTGGTTCGGACTCACCATCTTGAATACTGTGATGGAGGGATTCTGGACCCTGACGACACACTCAGCGATCTGGTGGAAGACAGAGACAAGGTAAGGCCACTGAAATGTAAAACCGAAAGTGGAAATGGACCTGGACAAGAAAAGATTTTGCGTCCTTCTGTAATATACTTTATATTTCTACAATGTGAATAGCTATGTGAGGAGAGCTTTGCAACTTTATATGCTTCATTTTGGGAAACCTGCTTACATTTTATATAGCTTTTTTTATACTGTTGCTGTTGTTATCAAAATTTCTTGGGGGTGTGAAGCTAACTGAAAGCACTTCTCTATTAGAAGCGCTGTTACTCAAGTTAAACTTAATAAGAACTTTATTTTAACACATTCTGACCATAAAGAACTGACATGGTTGCAACTACAATAGGTGAGCTGATTTGTGTGCTGAAACAAGTCTCTCACACATACAATTAAAGTCACAAGCTATCTAGTATTCGCCAACAGTTTTTCAGTTTTTCATTCTCACCTTTTTTTTGACACCTAAATGTGACATGAACTTTTTTATTAATCACAGCCTCTTGAAAATGAGTTGTTTAAGTCCATGTGTATTTTATCTTGAGTTTTCAGACAATCTTAAAACGTTTTTGTCTGCTTTTGCTAATATGTGCATTTTGTTTCTGTGGTAACTGCAGAACATTCCGCCAATAGAGATGCATGTAGAGCACCCCAGTGTGATGTCACTGCAAAGTATCATTGATTGATTTGGTTGATAATCCAACTTGAGTTCCAAAGTTTTTTCATTTGGTTTGGGTTTTTGAATTTTGGTATGGTTCATAACATGCTTTTATTTCTGTTAGATTTCCATTGGATACCCTCTCTGTACAACTCTCCTTTTATTATTTGTGTTTGGCACTAGCCCAGTCTACTATAGCTGGATTATTCAAGAACACACAGATAAATATTAGCAACCCAATCCCTCCTTGAAAATCCAATATACCATATATATATATATATATATTATATTTTTTTTACTTTATTCATATCATAATTCGCAAAATAATTCAGTTTCCCATAGCTTTAAGTGTTTGTGAAATACAGTCAGGTGTCTGTGTTTTAATAGTATTGAGCTGGAGTGGCCCATAAGCTTTCTTCTTGGCCTGAATATTGCCTCTGCAGCAAAATTCAAAGGCAAAGGTTTTAAGCTGCCTTTAGCAATACACTGTCATTAGGAATTCATTTTTGGAGACACGGGAACTTAATCTCCCCATTTCCCCCAAAGCATTTTTTTCTCTCATTTTATTACTTATATAGTCCATATAAATGTGATTAATAGTGTGCATTAAGCCTCTTGTACAATGGTGGAATACCTTAATGAATTCCAAGACTTTTTAGCAGCTCTGAACATGAAAGCAATGTCAACATGTTTTAATGAGCCCACTACATTTTTATTTAGCTAGAAAAAAAAGTTGAGAAAAGCTACTGGCGCTAAAATGTAGTCCACTTTTGAGTTTTCTATGGTCCCACGCTCTCGCTGTGTGTACCCTTAAGGAGGTATGAATTCTTCAGGATTTGTTGGAACTAATTAAGAACAAAGTTGCAATAGTTGGCCATTTCCTGCTGGGCTGTGGAAGCTAAAGAGGGAACTGCAGATCATTTGATGTTTGACCTTCCTCAGATACTGTCAAAGCTGTATCTTTCACTGCGTGTTTTGGTGAGATTAGTTTAAATCCTATTATGTTTTCATCAGGTGGGTAATGGAGGGCTTTTATTATGCTAGGATCAAATGTTAACTCTAATGCAGCCTTCTGTTTGCTCATTTTAATGTATGCAAGGAGCTATAAATATTTAGCATTCTCAGCAGGTATTAACAGGCATTTGTATGTGAGACACAAACATGACATATATAACTGTGATTATATAAGTGATATATAAGTGATTCTACAAGTAATAATTTAACTGTGAAACATGACAGTTTTGAACCAGATTTCTCTTTGAAAAGTCTTTATTTGTACACAAATAATAACTTACTTTGTGTTTTACTTTATATAGAAGTATTACAGCTGTGGAAATAATAAAATTTTCTAATCATCAGTAGGGCTGGGTATCATTAAGAAGTTGCCGATACGATACATACCTCGATACACAGGCCATGATACAATACATATCTCGATACATTGCACTTTCGATTCAATATGATATATTTCAAATCGATTCGATACAGTTCAATAAAAAATAAAGACTAAATCATGGCTGTGATACTAAAAGTCTTTGTTAAACCACTTCTTGTGCAAAGTTCATATGAAACACAAACATTTTAATCCTCAAAACAGTGCCAAAATGTCAAATGTGTTGCATAAATGAGTTTCCTTTCACTCCACAAGCAACAAAACTGTAGCGCTGTAACAAAATAATTTAATAAAACACATGTAAAAATACTCTTGGTGACATATCGATACAGTAGCCCACGATATCGATACTGTATCATCACATTAAACGATACGATATATCAATATTCCGATATTTTTGCACACCCCTAATCATCAGTGATTTTTTTTTTTTTTATCAAGAGAGCCACATCCTCTTAGCCAGGCTGGAACCACCTAGTGCCTCCGCTTAGTTTCATATCTCTCCAGCGACTAGGTCACAAATCGGAATACACTAGACGGTTTGCAAAAACCCCGGAAGCACGAGTCCGGGCACCAGCCAGTCAGCGAAGAGCCGTACATTCTGTGTTGGCAACAATTCCTGAGATTGAGGATTAAAGCCGGAACAAAGAGGATGTTTGGTGAATTTTATCAAGGGGAAAGATGTTATTGCACTTTCCTACAGGAAAAAGCTTAATATACCAGTTAGCCTTGTTAGCGGTGCATTACATACGTCATGACCAAATAGCAGCGATTGATTAAATTTAAAAAGTACCCACCTACCGTCAAGCAAACGAATTCCAATGCTGGTCAGTGCGAGGTCAGACGGTTTCCACGAAGTGAAACCAGCTGATGAATCAGGCTAACAGCCAACTCCCTGTCGGTAAAAACAAGTGGAGCAGAGTTCAGTTGTTGGAGGAATACATGTCAAATATTACGTCTATTAAGTTTATTTTCAGGTAATTAATATTAAAAGCAGGTAACCTAAACATAACATAAAATTGAATAGGACATCATAACTGATCAAAATATTTATTGTTTTGTTATATTGCCCAGCTTTAAGAGTGTATGAAGTTTTACATATGAAGTTCATGATCATCAGCAGCTCTCCTCTCCTCTTTGACATGTGAGCAGCTCTACATCCTGCTCTGTTGTTGTTTTTATTGGCTGGTTTCTGCTGTATTGGAGATGACACAGTGAGTTAAAGCCTGTGGACATATGACAACAACAGAGTCAGGAGACCAGGCGTGTGATGGTACGCTATAGTCCCTGAGGTCATATACTGGTCACTAACTTACAGAGTTATACACCCGCAGCCTGGAGTGACCCTAGCTATGAAGAGCTACTGTTAGAAAGATTCTCCTTCTATTGTTCAGTTGCTGAGTCACCTCAAACGACCTAACACCAATGCTACTGTATCTGTATTAAAGCCCCACCATGCAACGTTTAGCCATTTTCAAACTTTTTATTGCACTCAAAAACATGCAAAACATCAGTGCTCCTGCTTAAGTGGGAAATTTTCTCACTACATTTGACCATTCCTTCAACACGTCTGGGGCACCATAAGGCTTGCACCTCCACAAACCTGGCTCTTACTTGTTCTTACTTACTTGGCTTCCACCTACACATCTATCACCACAGAGAATATTCTGAAGTATTGTTTTTATATGTTGCTGTATTAAACTTTAGTGAAAGAGGATCCAGCACCTGCTTCTATGGAGATGTTTTTGTTTTACCTGGAATGGTGCATGATAGGGCATTAAACTATCTTCACGGAAACAAGCAGGAGATGCCACCAAGCTTACAGGTCAGATCTACTTTTAAATAATAATAATCTTACATTTTAAACCATTAAAAAAATGTATACACACATAAAACTAGTATCAAGACCCAGTTATGGTATTCTGCTTTTCTGTAATACCTTTTCTTTTCTTCAAAACATAATCTCCACTGTACTCATTTAAATACTGAGGTAAAAGAAAGTGCAGTTTTCTTATTGTTTGAAAAATGAATTGGGGATGCAGAAATAAACTGGATTGTGATACTGAGCCATGGAAGGTTGTGAGCAGCGGAGATTGCAAATGGAAATGTGAAATATTCATTGAGTTTTGGAGTGAGTTTGTGGTGGTATAATACAGAGCCCATGAATAAAGGCCTGCTAATCCCTCGCGAGTGTTTTACTGTAGTCCGCCTCAGACTGACTGGGTTTAGGCTCTGAACTGTAAAGAAAATATAAAAGTACTTAACTCCCGCTCAAGACGAGAGGGTGAAGTCTCTTAAGTGGTCTGTGGTGGGAATGGATACACTGGGATTATGTGTTCTGAATGTTTTTAAAGCTATCGTGGGTAGTGATAACATTTGGAAAGACGGTTCAAGATGTATTTTCAAAGGTACTTTAAGTATTTAAGTATAACATTAAAATTGTCAATCTCCATGGAGATAAGCAGGTGATGCTACCAGGCCTAAAAAGGTCAGATCTTCGTTTTTGAGCAATCAAACACCTAAATAGCAAAAATGTTAAATAGATACGTTTAATGGCACACTGTGGAACATTTCAGGCAAAGCAGTAACTCTAACATTTCTGGTGGTGGGTTATAGATGGGCCTTGGTGATAGAGGGAAAAAGAATCATAAATTTTTGCCCCATGTTATTCCATCGTGACGTTTGATTTGATCTTCCTCCATCTTTAGAAAACATAGACACATGGACTTTAGGCATAAAGAGCAGGGAGTCAGGATCACTACAATTTTCATTTTGTGTTGATAGGACCAGTAATTCCAGACAAATCCACATTTAAACTTTGGAATTAAGCCTAAAAGCATGTGCGCTACGAGCAGAAACACAGTAAATGAAGCTTTTTACAAATTTCAACATTAGTGATTAGAAGCGATTTGGAGGCTTCAGACCAAACCAATGGGTCTACCCTGCAATAATGAAAAATATTGGATTTAT